ATAATGTAGGTTTTATTTGGGTTAGATCGCGTAAATATAAATTTGTCGTTAAACCCGGCACCACCCGACTCAGCCAATTAGTAAGGTTTGTCACGTAAACATAACATGGTTTTCCCACCTGATGATGATTGCTTGTGTTGCAATCGAAACGTCGTGATTTGTTTAATTTGATTTCTAACTACGTGACTTTACCGAAAGAACCAAAGAGTATGGATTCCGGCAGTCACGAAAGCTTCAAATCAAGACAGAACATGCCAATTCGTTACTTGTGTAGTGGAGTAACAGCATGTGTGACCTGTGGACGGTGAGGTCACATCAGGGCGAACAGGTGCAGAGAGAGACAGAGGGAGAGAGAGGCGATCAATGAAGATACACCGCGGTGATTGGCTGGCTGCAAATGCAAACACGGTGTAGGCGCCTCGCAGGCGGGAGGTGGGAGGCGATAAGCGTGGCGGAGACGCCGCGTGAGCGACGGCTCAACGAGGGCCACCTGAGGTCTCTTAATGAGGGGATAGAGGCTGGTGCGCGGAGAAAAGCAGTTGAGTTGGTTGGAGTGAAGTGCAGAAGATTTTTACAAGTGAATTCCGGGACCCCGCTCGCCAAACCTCGTCCTCTCCAGCGGTGTTGGCTGATCCCCCACTGGAGGCACGGGGGCGAGGTTGGAGGAGGGTAGACAGGCTATCAGTAGAGAGGCTAGCGGAATCCTAAGTGTGAGTGTGCTAAGGCTAGCAGTAGAGAAGCTAGCAGAGTGTATCGTAAGTGGCTAGCGGGGCGAGAGAGAGAGGAAAAGTTGCGATGGAGATACGTGGTGTTGAACGCGAGGAGTTATGTACGAATAAAGAGACACGGGAGAAAAAGAAGTTGCCCATGTGAAATAACACCACGGCACTTGTACAGCACACCGGTGTGTTGGAGAGTAAATCCACAACATTTACAATATAAGTACGACTTTTCGCCAGTAATTACAACTAGCATCATCAGGCGAAACGTAGTACTCAGTTTGCCAATTGACTAAAGACAAAAGAGTTCCATTAGTTTTTTTACGTACACGAAAGAAGGCAGCTGTCATATTAAAACGATCAGTCCTAAATAATTTAAAACAGAATTCATGCGTGCTTTAATGTTCATGGAAGTAAGTTTGAACACGTGTTAAAAAATAAATGAAATAACCCCGTGGGATTTGTTAAAATAAATATAATAATCCTATGTGTCCCGACTTTTGGTCCACCCTGATGTTATTTTACCGTGTGCCTAGGCAGACTCGAGCAATTCAATTCAAAGGACCCCTTCTGCCAGCACCTTGACTGGATTAACTTGAAAACTCAAGCGAGCTGGGAGTGATGAAGAATTCGCTGGTTCACTGCAAACCTCCGTGCCCATCAATAGAGAATCTCATCACCTCCTCCCCGGTCCCCCTGTGCCTCTACCATTTCCGCAGCCTCTGTTCTTAATTCAAATCCCATTTCTCCAAGCACAGACAAAAAAAAAACACACTGCCCCCGGCATTCTATCATGTGTACCACGTGGTTTATGGTGCATACGGATCTACAAACCCCATTCAGCCAGTTCATTTCCCTTACCCCCCCCCCTCGCCTTAACGCTCACTTTCCTCACCTCCGGTTGGCTACGTACGGTGCGAAATAAGTTCAACATATACTCGTACGTATATTCTTAGGTTAATCTAAGAATATGAATACTTGCAGTCACGAAAACTTCAAATCTACGTACGTACGTACTCCGAGTCAAAGTGATTTCCTGCTCAAACGCGAGCGTCGAGTTGGTGCTCAGCTCCCGTTTATAGCGCCGAGCCAGTGATTGGAAAACTCCACAATCATATGGCAGGGATGCGTACCGTAAATATCTGGCCCTGGGCCCTCTAACCATACCGCTTGACAAATCTGTCGCTGACCAACCGTGGAGAAGTATGGCCGAATCATGCCCACAATTGACGCACAGTAGGGGAGGCATTTGACGGGCTGGAGATCGACTATGAGTCGTCAAACTTAATTATAATTTATTTGTAATTTATATTATGGCTACTGGAACATGGGACAAATTGGTTAGAGACGGATACACTGAGCTCAGTACAGGAGGCTGTGTTCCATCCCTACTCATGCCGGTGGAAAGCCTGAATGCGATTTTGTATTCAAATCCAATTGCCTCTGTTCATCCGACAGGAAAATATATGCACAGCGGTTGCTTCTTTAAGGTTAAACCTCTTAAGACTGGTCTTCAAACACAATGAATTATTAAACATTTAAGCCGTCTCCTATTGTGCACTCCTTTGTACTGATACACAAGCTAAAAAAAACGAGATATATTTTACTTGCATAATCCCTTGGGAAGAAAGAATCTTTCGCAAGGGGTGCACAGATTGCCGAGTGACACACACATTTCCGACGTCAGGAAATTAGGAAAAGTTTTCAATGCACGAACCCCCCTCGTCTTGGGGAAAACGAGGTCTGGACCACCGTTGCAAGCACTCACTGCCTCTCAGCACCGTTGAGGCACGTTCGGCCACGCGTATTTCCCTGCTAGCAATGAGACAAAGGCAGCCCGGGCTCTGACAAGAGGTCGCGGGCGCAGCGGTCAAGGGCCAGGAGGGAGAGAGAATGTAGAGAGACACAGAGAGAAAGAGAAAAAAAATCGCTCATCACGGCACAAGCCAGAACGAACACAGTGCCAGTCAAAAAAAAAACAATGGAGACCAAACCATAGCAATGTACAGGAGCATTCACATCTCCATCACTCGCACAATAATTCACGTCGCTCGCGTGCGTATATTATCAAAGCGCTATAATGGGACAACGGTTTGAACTGAGAAATGTTGACAGCGCGCTCCCTTTATACCGCTTTTTTTTCCACCTTTTTTAAATGCATTATTAAACCTTGGGTGATGATTCAACAGCAGTCGCGTGCGAAGCGGCCACAGCAGTAGAGATGTTGGTGAACATACTCTTAGGTTTTTTCGGTAAAGTCACGTAGGTAAAAAATAAATAAAAAATTACTAAAAGTAATAATAGAAATAAAATAAAATAATAAATCACGACGTTTCGGAGGCAACACCGTCACAGCTAGATTTGCTGTATCACTTGATACAGCAAATCTAGCTGTGACGGTCCCACCTGATGACGGAGACTTGTGTTGCCTCCAAAACGTCGTGATTTTTATTATTTTATTTCTATTATTACTTTTATTAATTTTTAATTTTATTGTTTTACCCACGTGACTTTACCAAAAAAACCTAAGAGTATGAATCCTTGCCAGTCACGAAAGCTTCAAATCATCTATGTTGGTGAACCGCACCCCGAGGGTTGCCTCTCAGCTGTCGACAGGACCTGGGCGCGTCGCCAGTGGCCACGGGGGTCGACGATACGTGGAGAGTTTCGAGCGACGGCACTCGCTAAACGAAACGAATTTTTTGTTTTATTTTACCAGGTAAGGCACACTGAGCTATGTAGCTCTTTTTCAGAAGCGAGCCGGCCAAGAATGATGGCCCAACGAAGTGGCTTATCAACACGTGTAAATGTATATAACCACGTGCTTTCGAGCGACTCTGAGCTTGGCTCCGCGCCTCTGAGTTGCGGGCGTTACGTCCACAAATTTGCGCGTGTTATAAATTGCATTATTATTATTATTATATCAGCCAAATACTCTAAATGTGGAGGGGGGGGGGGGGAAACCGGCCGAGCCCGGAGAAAAGTCCACGCGAACACGGGGAGATAGAGAGACACACAAACTCCAAATACACAGCAGTGGTCAGGGTCGGGATCGAACCCACGACCTCCTGTATATCAGGCGAGGTAGTTAACATCTCCTAGCCACCGCGGCACGCCACTCGTCCCATGCATGTGTACTCACGTTGAACCCCTTTCGCACCACATGTAACAAACCACGCTCATCAAAGGTGGACTTCCGCACACCCTGCCGCGCCGTGAGCGCGTGCAAGTTGGATTTGTCATCAATGGGAGTCCGACTCCCGCTCACGGTCAATTACAGCGGTGAATATTTTGAACCGGTCCTGTGCTTCCCCCAGGGCGACTCGGCCTCAAATGGGTGTAAAACAACAGCGCTGGAGAGACAAAGGTGGCCGGGCGTCGTGTCCACCACCCCGTGCGCCGTGCCCGCTATCATAAACGCTTGCAAAACAGCACTTGCCCCAACAGTCTGTTAAAGGCTATACGGGGGATCATTGTCTTTGTTATCAGTGGTAGTGTAGTGGTGAGTGCGTTGCACTATGAACCGGGTGACCCAATTTGTTTTCTGCTCACGGCCAAAATCCATAACCAATATTCAAACAACCGGTCCTGGTCCTCGCCTAGGTCGACTCGTCATTAATCCAGCATCTCGTGCTGCGTGTAAACAATCAGCATTGGGAAGACAAAGGCGGCCGGGCGTGGATGCCCGCCACCGACCCCCACGTGTCCCACGTTGACCTTAATAGGTGCTGCTCGCCAACAGCACTTGCCCCAACGGTCTGTTAAAGGCAACACGGGGTGATCTTTGTCCTTGTAGTTTGATCAACTAAGCTCAAATTGCCGTCTAATTATAAAGCATCAATAATTGGACGACGTCTTTTTAATCCGTCACTTGACCATCCACAAATGGGGTCAACGAACCCCATCTCAGCCCCTGCATCAACGTACAATTGACATAACCCGATCATTTGTATCGTTAAGCGAATGTTCATGCACATGATCAAAGGGCAAATGGTGTTCGGTAGCATCGGACACCGTCGTTAACCGATCTATAATAAATACATATAAAGTGCGCACTCCATCCACGAGACTGCTGATGAGTCAATTAGAGCGAGCGGCTGTCGTCAGCATGCCATTAGCGCAAGCGTGATCAGCAAGTTGCTTTTAATCGCTGCTCAGAAGATGCACCGCGTTTGATATCAGTCGGATGAAATGGTCCGATTTGACACGTTCAGTTAATGAAATACATCTAAGTGCATAATCACGCGCGGCATCATATAGCGTTCAAATTCCACCGCTCACCCGGGAGAGTCTTTATGAGAATCGAGCCTTTTGACGTGGGTCCTGCTGATGGCAACTCAGTCTTGGAGGGAGAGTTGACTCGGCCCATCATCCCCACCGCGATCGCTAAAATAGTGTACCACTCTGTGTGGCAAAATCAACAGCGGCTGTCCAATGGATTTGACACGCTCCGCCCGCCAAGATAAAACTCCACGGAATTGTCTCTGCAGGCGAGAGAATGAATGTCTCTCTCTCTCGCTCGCCCTCTCCGCACGACTGACCGCGCGACCGTGATGATGGCGGTGATGGTGGAGATTCCGAGGCTTTAACACGATCCATGCACACACGCCGCACACGCTGGAGGAGGTCAGGTCAGGCCAGCCTGCAAACCGCATGCCCGTAATTACGACGTAATCATTGCGGGCGGGGGGGGGAGCAGAGTCCAGGAATTTACGATCGCACGCACCTCCCGTACCACGTGCGTGCCAAGCAAAGCCGACTTCTTTGCCGCAGCCGCCCGCTCGCTTCGGTGCAGATCGAGTGAGACTGAGAGCGTGAGGTCCAGAGCCTACTTCGTGACCTATTTCCGAAAGTCGTGCCTCCCTCCACCCCATCTTCAAAGCCCACCGATACACCCAACACGCCCATCAATCCACCCACCCTCCCGCCCACTCAACAACCACCGCTTATAATAGCAACGGGCTTTGTTTGTCCTTCCTAGGACGGAAGCTGTAATATTTAAGAAAATGTTGAGCAGAGTATAATTGTATCTTGTGTCGATTTAATGGCGGTGAATTTTGCACGAAAGTATGTCATCAAACACTTCAGTGCAGTGCACTGCAGCACTGTATTAATGGCAGTGATTGTTGCACAAAACTACGTCATAAAACACCTCACTTCATGTCACTGAGGCACTGTATATAACTGACCTTCAATTTGTTCAAGTTCGCTGCTCTGATACTTTATTCTCTTCTGCTTTCCGTCGCTGGGGTTGAAAAAAATTGGAATTCGATACAATATCTGGAAAATCACCGAGAAATGTCTATTTTACCATCATGTAGAAGCATAAATTACACTTACCTTTCGTCTCAAGTACTGAAGAAATAAATAAAGACACTAAATCCACTTTGTTGCTGCGTATAATTCTTTATTAAATTAACTTTCAATAAATAAACGTCAAACTTAAAGCGAATTTGCGAAAAAATTATTCTTTCCGCTCGACATTCTGCGTGAGTGTAAAAATCCACCCGCTCATGAATATTAATGACGGGGGGTGCGGCATGTAGAGTGACGTCACGCGCGTTACACACAGACATTCTTGGCTCATTATAGTAGTAAATTTCCCCCTGTTTTTAAATAAGTGACAACAAAAGCGCATGTCCGTCCGTTTGTTCATTCACTTGTTCCTTCGTTATTTGGTCCGTTTTTTATACGTATGTAGTATGTTAAACTTCTTTCGCACCATACGGAGCCAACCATGCTCATCGGAGATTGTGCGGGGGGGGGGACTATAACAACAAAGAAGCAGTTCTAAAGAAATGAGTTTTCAACTTCGTTCAGTCGCGGGCCTTCGTTCCGCAAGGCGCAAATTCGCCGGTACAACGAGTTTCTCTCTCTCTGTTTCGAGGATTTCCCTAGGACTGCAACCCGACAATTAACAACGTCGCGTGGCCGTCAGTCGGAGGAGGATGTTTTGGTATTTGTCAGTTGGCTTTTAAGAGGCGACGGTTAAAAGGCGTTTGCGTTCACGTGCAAGGGGGCGAGATGGATTGTCACGGGACCGTGTTCAAGAGGTAGTTGGCTGTTCTCGGTTCATTGCACTAAGCCTTCCCAGGACACGCATTAAAAGTCCCGGTGTGTGTTGTCAGTTGCGTAAAAATAATCCAGGGCCCAAGACAATGCACCACCTTCTGGTAATGTGCAATATTCCTTTGCCCACGAACATTGGCAAGCCTTCATCCAGGAGTGGATAGATGTGGGCTAAAGATGATGATGATGTAAATAGTATTATTACATAAATCAATAACATTGTGTGCGATGAGCTGCCAGCGATGGTGAGGAACATGACATATCTTGAGGTGCCCTTGTTAACTCTGGTCGGTTAGCGTGTGGGTGACATGGCCGAACGGTACAGCGTTCACTGCTCGTTGCAGAAGTTCAAGCCCATCGGCTGCCCTGGTAAATGCTTCTTGTTATTATTATTATTGTGACTCGGTTTGCTTTTCCAGAACTATCGTACTGAGTCTCAACACTTTTTCAGGAGGGTGTAAGGTTTTTGCAGACAGTGGCAATGATTGCTACGTGTTTCTCAATTGAGGAATTTGCTGAGGACAGCGATGATACTCTAAATGTAACAAATTTGGACCGAGGTGTCGGCACACAATGGTCTCCTCTCCCTCGAGTGATGTCACCGCGGCCTTATAATGTCCACTCTAAAAACAGACGGCGTGTAACTCATGTGAAATACACCGGCGGCATTAATCAGGTGGCGGCCCGAACCTCGAACCTCTGCACCAAGCGGCGAACCCGCTGTCTTTGCGTCGTGTCACCTTGTCCTCCGTGTACTTCATGAAGATCCAGTGATGTTAAACTTACGTACGGCGTCACGGTCCAAGTTTTTTCTACATTTGAAAATTACTCAATTTGGTAAACCCACACAGCAACTTTGCCCACCTACCGTGACACTACCGCACGCTTTAAATCGTCCGTGAGACGTAGCACCGCAGCGATAGCCTTGGCGCTGTAGGAATGGCACGAAAATACCAAAACGTGGAAACAACTTGAATCGACGGTTTGAATTTATTCGGAATTTTCATTGATCTCTTTGTGATCCACCAACGCTCGCTTTCCAAAGCGCTGGATCGCTGGAGTGCGGTCGCCATGACCCAATTCGAGCTGCTCAGATGAGGGCTTTGGAGAGAAAGCCCTTAAAGCAAAAGCAGTCACAACCCAAACTTAATTAATAATTCATTATGTTGCATTATTTATGATCAAGCTCATTAGAAACAGAAGGGGGCGGAGAGGGGAACCCGTAATTGAACGAAGATACGATTCGGGTTTTCATTCAGGAAGCACTTTACAAAATATATAATATATATATACTTTTTAATAATCCTTCAAGGTCTGGCATTCTATCGCGATCCAAATCTCAGTGGATTTGACCAAAAAAGTCAGAAGAGCACTCTCACGCATAATTTGCATCTGATTATCTGTTAATTAGGCTGGAGTAAGTAAAGCGTGACGTCAGTCATGTGATATCAGCAAGATAGTTACATTCGACGTTAGACGTGTAACCAGCAATCCCTCGCAAGAAAAAAAAAACTTCTGTATTCTCCGGATTATCAGAAACTCCACAAGGCAATGGACAAACGCGAAGTCTGGTGATGCTGCGTTGACAGTGGCGCACAAGCACAGCGAACCAAACAAAAAAAAATAACAAAAATGACCAATACAAAATAATATATAATAAGCGGTATCTTGGACATTGGCCATTCTTTATCGTGGAAATATAATCTTATTGAACGTGCAAAAACGGAAAGGGAAATACAACTCTCGAAACAAACGTCACACTCCCTTAACTCAAAGTCACGCAGCTAGACATCGCTGCAAACTCCAATGAATCGGAGATGCTAAAAGTCTACGTAGGTCCAACCTGCCTACTGCAAAAAGCGGACAGACACAAAAGGCAAGAACAAAAATTCCCCGTATAGCCTGTAACAGACTGTTGGGGCAAGTGCTGTTAGCGAGCACCTATTAAAGCCCGGCACGACGATGTTTACACGCCGCACCAGGTACTCATTTGAGGCTGAGTCGACCTAGGGGAGGCCCAAAACCGGTTAAGATAATCGTCACTGGTGTTGGCCGTGAGCGGGAATCGAACTGGGGCGCTGGGTTCATAGCGCAGTGCGCTGACCGTTGCTCTACCACTTCCCACACAAAGACAAAGATCCCCCGTATAGCCTTAACAGACTGTAGGGGCAAGTGCTGTTAGCGAGCACCTATGAAGGCCAGCACGGCACACGAAGGGGTGGGTGGCCAGCACCACGCCCGACCGCCTTTGTCTCCCTAGTGGTGATGTTTACACACCTCACCAGGTACTCATTTGAGGCTGAGTCGACACACACAGACATACCCAGCACGCGCCTTGCATGTGCTACACAACGCGTGTTACTTTGATGTATAATTAGTTTGATGCATAATTATTTAATGGTGTGTTTCCAAATGCCGGGAAGCTAGATTCAAATCTGGGTTTTATCCGCCTGTGATCAAACAGGGGTTTCAAGTGTAGCGAGTTGTATGTATGTATGTGTGTTGAACCGTGTGGAGTCAAACGTGCTAATTGGAGGTGCGGAGTTGATGGTCGTCGCCTGGTCAACAGTGACTGCAGACTACTAATAACGGCAATAAAAAAAGAGAATGAATACAGCTCAGAACATGAAAGTAAAAAGTAAAAAAGTAATGACTGCTTGGCGATGAATATGGGAAAATTCAGGAATCCTTCGTGTGGACGAGTTTTGTGCCATGAAGAAGGACCATTGCCCAAAACGTCGCCTATTGTATATTTGTTTCCTTTTAAGGCCACGGTGTTATTGATGAATGTGTTGAATTTTTCGTTGTGTCCAAGTGTCACCTGCAGGGATCTCAGAAATAGTTATTTATTTTTTATTAAATCACCAGTTGTTAAACACGGCATGGTGCACTTCCCACTGCAAGAGTTCACAATGGACATTTTGGTGTCTTAAGCCATAACTCTCATAGCGCTAGTGAAATATATTGGGAATGGTAAAAACAAATTCAGATAAAATATTTCTCACGTACTTTTAAACTACGAGCAGTTTGCCATCAAGATTTTTTTTCCATGAAATTTTTCGAACATTAATTTGTTTATCACTGAAAATGCAGACCAACTGGGACATGCGCTGCGGAAAAAAAAACAGGGAGATAGAATGGAGCCAATTCTCTTTTGCGAGCACCATGTATTTATCGTGATTCAAAACAGTGGGCTTCAAAACATGTTTCCAGCAGTGTCTGCAAACATGAAACAACCCACGGGCCATCTCCTGAGATGCCCCCGCTGCACCACAATGCACTCCTCCAGATTTGGCAATGCCAACATCAGAAGCGGTGGCCCGTGCAAAATATTGGGGGAGAAAAAAAACTACAAAAGTTTAAGGCAGAAGACGCGACTAAGAAGTGTCTCAAGAATTACGCCTTTGTTGGTCTGGACCAGGGGTTGGCAAACTGCATCTCTGGAACCGCACGTGGCTCTTTAAAGCCTACTTCGTGGT